GTCAAATATTTAATCGTATTTTTTTATTATCATTCGTTTTGCTCATTTAAAAATACAATGAAAAAATGAGTTTTTTTATTCTATCTTAAAAAAAAAAAAAAATTTGGAGAGAAATCATTATCAAGAACAATTTATGTTAATTTGAGAATAAGAATGAGATGAAAAAAAGTTTGAGATATAAGTGTGATATTGTGTAAAGGATAAAATATAATCTAATTATTAAAAATTGTGCTATTGTTATGAAAAGAGAAAAAAGAGAAGAAAATCAGAGAAGTCAATTAATTTGTGTGTATTATAATGAGAACCAAAGCTCTATATTTATAGGGAAGGAATAAAGATACATATGGTAATTATATCTAGGACTGCAGGGGTACAAATGTCATTCACACTAAACCCTAATTTACTTTCCTTTTACAATACTCCTCCTTAAATGACACATTACAAAATATCTGACTCGTTAAAATCTTATTTGATAAAAACCCAATAGGACAAANGTCAAATATTTAATCGTATTTTTTTTATTATCATTCGTTTTACTCATTTAAAAATACAATGAAAAAATGAGTTTTTTTATTCTATCTTAAAAAAAAAAAAATTTGGAGAGAAATCATTATCAAGAACAATTTATGTTAATTTGAGAATAAGAATGAGATGAAAAAAGTTTGAGATATAAGTGTGATATTGTGTAAAGGATAAAATATAATCTAATTATTAAAAATTGTGCTATTGTTATGAAAAGAGAAAAAAGAGAAGAAAATCAGAGAAGCCAATTAATTTGTGTGCATTATAATGAGAACCAAAGCTCTATATTTATAGGGAAGGAATAAAGATACATATGGTAATTATATATAGGGCTGCAGGGGTACAAATGTCATTCACACTAAACCCTAATTTACTTTCCTTTTACAACACTCCTCCTTAAATGATACATTACAAAATATCTGACTCGTTAAAATCTTATTTNAAAAAAACACAAAAGAAAAAAAAAAAAAAAAAAAAAAAAAAAAAAAAAAAATCAAAACGAAGGAAAAAGAGTACAGTTATTTTGGAGTATTAAAGATAAATGCTGCCTCATTAAAACCTTGCTAGAAAAACCCAGTCGGATAAAACCTAAACAAGGAAAAAGAGTATAGCTACTCCCCCTGATGTTGATCACTGAAAATCTTTGAGTCGACGCATTCCAATCCCTTGAACCAATTTCTTGAATGTAAATGTTGGCGTGCTTTTGTAAATAAATAAGCCAAATTGTCACTTGAACGAATTTGTTGAACCTCGATGTCACCATTCTTCTAAAACTCGTGCGTATGAAAGAATTTTGGAGAAATATGATTCGTCCTTTCACTTTTGATATAATCTCATTTGAGTTGTGCAATGCAAACAGCATTATCTTCATACAAAATTGTTGGACTATCTTTTATTGAAATTAATCCGCATGATGCTGGGATATGATTGGTCATGTTCCTCAACCATACACATTCTCGGTCTACTTCATGGATTGCAATAATT